AAAATGTTTTGTTCTGTATTTTTGTCGAAATGTTCCATACTTCTTGCGGCATATTAGCGGAAGTGTGTTGCCCACCTTCAACTAGCATGCCACGATGATTATGACGCAATGACTGTCTCCTATCCACTGATTTCCATGGCTTTGTTGTCTCTGTCTAGTTACTAGACTGTTGAGATTGCATACATACATTCATTGTATCACGACTCTGGCTCCACAGTAAAGTTTACTATCTGGTCAGTGGAGTTAAGTTGATTCAGCAGTTCCTCCGTTTATCCACTTTATTATCACAAAAGTTTCATCTACATAGTTGTCAAACTTTCGGTGAGCTACCACTATTTACTGGCCCCTTCTCATCGAATTCCTCTACGTACAAGTTCTCCAATGCAGGGAATATTGGCGGTCTCATAGTCCGATCTTGTTTTTGAGCGTAGAGCTTCCACTGCAAAATGAAATAGCGCATGCCAAGGTACAACCTCATGCTCTGTACTATTTGTTCAACTGAGCTTTGTTCCCCCACCCAGTACACTATTCTCGTTTTAACGTCTTGCTAACCGCAGCGCTTCCTATATGGGTACAGCAAAAAACAAGGTGAAATCAAAGCGTACCATTAGTTCATCCGATTTGATGGCGAGCCTCGCTATATTTTTGGCAAATTCATACCAGTTCTTAACGAACATACTGGTTCGTCTTATCAGAGACTGCAATATTCCCGCCTACAATCTTGCGAGTTCATGATTCAGCGAGCCTATGTCACCGATTCTAGGCTGCATGAGAATGTCAGGTTTATGTATCTTTGGTAGCCCATAAAGTTTCGGGGCTAGAGTCGATTTTGAATATAGAGTAATAATAACAAATAATGTGTCAGCTGTACGCCGTAACGGCGCTTGGCTGCTGGCGCGGGCTGAGTATACCGCGAGGAGGCCCACCCCTACGCGGATTCGAACCGATGACCTTATGGTTGCAAAGCAAACGTGTAGACCACTTGGCCACCGGCCGACGAATATAGAGTATGCCATATGCCTACCCCTAAATCGTCCTTCACGGCTTTCGACTCGTTCCAAGCCTTTTTTCTTCTTGTTCATTACCGTCGTTACGGTTTTATTTTCAACTCATTTACCCAGCCCAGTATCCAAATGTTGCTTCATTTTTTCCAAATAATCCGTTTTCTTCATTAACATAATTTTTTATTGTCAGCTTTTGTAATTACGATACTACAATCTACCTTCAAGGCCTTCAGCGCAACACGTTCAGCGGATGCTAAATTAGGCTCCCTTGATTGCTGAAATTTAATACCATTCAATAGCTGTGCACGGATATTCCTCACCCTCACCTCGTGTAACTTAGTTACCACGCTTTTAACGGGTTTGTTGACAATAAAACTCAAACCCTTCTCCAACAATCTACTTTCATCCAAAAACCTAGCTGACAAATTAACTACATTACAGTAGTTACCACTAGATCCAAGCTTACCACTGAGGTCGGTGGCCTTGTGACACAGAATGTGTGCTTCATTGGAATCCCGTCCTCATTTGGATTTAACTTGTGAGCCTTTGTTGAGAAGTCGTACGTAGTCTGACTGCGTTAAGGTGGCCTTCAGATCCAAGCTCAGTCGATTTCCGTCGAGGTGAAGGAAATTTCTGAACATGTATTGTAATCCTACATATACCGAAAAGTTGCTCCATTACACTCCAAGCCAGGGGAAAACGTTTACGCATGCATAGCCTCGTCGCTGTTTCACTAGGTACATGCCCTGTGCACAACGAAAGCGCAAGAGCTACGAACACGGACGTTGGAACACAAAATGCGCATTTTGTGACCACTCAGCATTGAGTTTGAATACAGAGTTCTATTCAGAGATCTTTTCGTAGCTGTACATGCGATGGACACTTGACATCCGGTCGATTTCATCATCATGATTATACACGTCAGCTAGAGGTGGGAAATACCTCGATCTAGATAATGTCCACGTCATTAGGGTAGGTTAGCGAGCGACGCTCCAGAGATTAATTGCCGAAGCGATTAAAATCGTCAACGCTGTGTGAAGAGAATGTAGGAGGTGGATATCTCGACTGCGTGCCTGCCAATCTATCCAGCCAGTCTGACATGCATCGATATGTGGGTCCGGTTGAATAGCGAAGACCGGCATCATCATCGTCACCAAGACCGCAATTGGCAACGCGATGGGCGGTGAAACCTCTGGAAGTCCCACTTTTTGAATGGACCACTTCAGAGGACCTTTCCACCTGTGTCTGTAACAGTCTCTTCAGTCATGACTTAGTTGTTACGACTATATCCCTCACTCGTAATAGAAACGCCGCATCATTTATGTATTAATTCATCTAGTAAGACGAAGCTTTTGCGTGAAATAAATAAATCAACTGATTGTTCGCAAATATCTCTGAAACCAAAGAGGAGCAGCTCTACAGGAAACACAGTCAGGTGTGAAGCATACAAGAGCGTTTGGCTTAACGCGGTTGATCAAGTAAGTTTCTAGCACGGAGTTGCAAGGGACTCGATTGGCACACCCCATAAAAGAATGATAAAAGCAATTAAGTATGGCAGGAAAAGGTGAGAGGAAAACAAAAAGAGGGTAACGAAAAGGATTTGAGAAAAGTTATATTGTAATATACACATGAAGGTGTCAGCATGCAGAAGCGATGGACCGAATAAACGGGAGCTACTGAGACTGCGAGTATACCATTTGAGACGATATTCCAAACCACCAATGTGGCCTTCTTTGGGATCCGCGTTAGACAAAACGGCATTTATCAGTGCAATCGGACTTCTCCGTAGATTCCTGCGTTCAATTTCATGTGATCGGTTAACCTCCGCACGTTCCACCAAACCAGATAGACATGCGTAGTAGGTTCCTACACAGAACCTACGCATCGCTGCAGCGCGATCACTGCCAATCGTGTGTGGGCTAAGGATGCTGCGGTGGTCGCGCGGCCAACTGTGCAGGCACGAACTCGTAGTCTCGGGATTCCAAGGTAGATTTGTGATCCTTAAGGCCATGGGACGGACCACGCTAGGTGGAGAAACAGCACAACACGGATCCTAGAACACAAACGGTTCATTTTGTGACCGCTCAGGGATGACTTTGAATACAGAGCTCTGCCGTGGCTATGTGTGCGCAAGAGACGGGCATCCGGTCGATTGAGATAATGCCGACGTCATTAGGGAAGTTTTTGAACGACGCCCCGGAGATTAATTGCCGAAGCGATTGAAATCGTCAACGTTGTGTGAGTAAAATGTAGGAGGTGGATGTCTCGACTGCGTGGCGGGCAATCAATCCAGCCAGTCTGACGTGCATCGATATGTGGGTCTGGTTAAACAGCGAAGACCGGCATCATCATCGTCACCAAGATCGCAATCGGCAACGCGATGGGAGGCAGAACCTCTGGAATAGTCCCACTTTCTGATTGGATCACTTCAGATGACATTTCCACCTGTGTCTGTAAGAGTCTCTTCAGTCATGACTTAGTTGTTACGACTATATCCCTCACTCGTAATAGAAACGCCGCATCATTTATGTACCAATTCATCTAGTAAGACGAAGCTTTTGCGTGAAATAAATAAATCAACTGATTGTTCGCAAATCTACGAAACATTGACTCCGTGATCGGTTTCAGGTGTATTCCAGTAGCTGTTTATATATATTTTAGTGTTGAAATCAGTTTGGAATACTGGGTCTTTGCATTGGCGGAGGCGATCGCGATTCGTCTCCGCATTTCTCCTTGTGTATGCGTAAGCAATTCGTCAGGGCTTTGGTTTACCGTGGCCAATTATCGTCCGGACGGATTCCGTGCGAACAAATTACACCCATTTTTTGCATTCTGACATCTTCATTTTCTAGTTCTGGTTACTTGACTCACCGTTTGTTATCTCAACTATTTAAATGTGTTGTACTTGGCCGGACGATCAATCACTGTGAACGAGCTCGTCTTATTTCACCTTCTTTTAATGACTGAAACGGGAGTTGTACAGCCTTTGAAGCAAATTCTTAGTTTCCAGGTGGGTAGTCGGCCGATGCTCGAAAGGATGAAACGTTTGTCCTGCAACTCTTTCGTTCACCGGTTCTAAAGCCGCGTACGTGCAAGCGACCTAGCAGTATCACTTGCTTGCGCACGACTTATAATGGCCGCGTGACAACGAATTGTCGGTGCGGCGCACCCGCAGACTGCTGATACCTTTCTTCTTACTTTAGGGGTTATTGTACTGGCCACTAGCTTTCTGTAATATTGTACTTTTTGGACGCCTGGCTCTGCATGTGTTATTGTCCTAGGATGCAGTGATGTTACAACCTCGAAGTCACCTACACTGGGATGATGGGTGAATTCGGAACAGTTATTTTGAGGTTTGTTTTCGTTTCGTGCATTCTTAACATTGATAGCTAAACCATGACAGCTTCAATGGAGGTGGTACATGGCTAAGTGCTCGCGCTACCAGTGTAGGCTTAGAGCCACTTTCAGCAGTTTTGAATGCACAGTGGTAAAGATGAATCCTAGTAGCTTAGAGATGTGGGGCCGTTGATTGGACATTAGGATTGTGAACCATCCATCAGGATTAACACGTTGGTCAGCTTTGCCTTGTGATCGCCGAGGCACTAAGGTTTCCCGATTTGGCCGACTCCGTTGTTACAGATCGCACCCTGCTACCTAACAACTTGAGGATGTGTTATTTGACTCTGACGCTTAAATTATGATCAATTTGCCTAACCTAGCTGTGGTGTTTCCTGATCCTCTTTTTCGAACAACAAAGTACTTAAAACTCAATAATGCGTACTGTCGCTGCTTTGGAATGCATGGCTGATGAAGTGAACGATATGGTACTTACGTTGTTAGCAATTCTCTTGCCTTATCTCCAACCTGCGCGTATCTAAGTAAACGTCATCTTTCAGGATCGTTTTTGTCCACCGAATGTCAACATCCGAAAAGTTTTATGTCTATCTGACGCTGTTGAGACAGTAACTTTAGTTGTGCTTACGAATATCCTTCCAGCGGCGAAACTGATGCTAACGCTCAGAATATTATTCAAGGTACGTTACCTATACTTCCACCCCCCTCAGGTCACTTGGATACTGATCTTTCGACAAACGGAATAAGACAAGCCAGGGCCCTTCGAGACTACCTCAAGACTCTTCCAGTGGATTTATTGATCTCCAGTGACCTAAAGCGAGCTTACATGGTAATTCCTTGTCGCGGTTAATCGTCTTCTACCGTTCGATGTCCCTTTTGTTTCAGTTGTCAAAGGTAGAGACTTCACTTCAGACGCCATCTATCCCCAATAATCATGCGTTCATACTCCATAGCGTTTCTTCGTTTCCACTCAAATGTCTCATTTTTGTGGGCTCGAATACTGCAGAGGACCAAGTGACTGAGCTTGTCGGTTTTCCAGCCATTGACCAACTCAGTTAGACTCTCCCTTAAGCCTTACCCAGACTGATGCAGTGATGTGGGCGTATTAGCAACATCACAACGATACCATTATATTCATTAGCACAAATCACGAGACGGAATGAATGGAGAAACGAACACCGGAGCGCCATTGATCTCGTAACTGCGTCCTATCCGATAGAATATACAACTGATGGTGCGGTCGATCTCGGTGAATTCTCAGGTATCTTTGCCAAATCGTTGACTGATCATCTCGGTGTTTCATTCAACTAGGTGCACAGTATCTGGAAACAAGAGGTACAGAGGCAGGCAGCATGTGGGGAACATGAGATAGCTAGCGGAGGCGATTCGAGTGCAACAGACACTCCTTCAGTGAGCGGTACCTGTGCGTTCATCACCAAAAATTACGTGATAAACTTCAGTATTATTCATTCGATGCGTCAACCAGACATGAGCATTACTTCGCGTAATATTCCTCCTGTCCGACGTTCCAAGTTTTTTGTCCAGCTGTTACTACGTCCTCAAGACCCTTTGAGGTGCAACAGAAGAACAGTAGCTCGTAGTTGGTTGAATGCTTATATCACAATCACCTAGTAAGAGGTCGAGGACAAGGGAGGAAGTACAGAAGAGGACAGGACAAATAGTACCGGGACGGGACAAGGGGGTAATGGTAAGCGGGAGCAACAGCGGCAATGTAAGCACCATTCATCGACCTTCCCTTTAACGTGTTAAAGGTACGCCAGCTGACTGGCTGCAATCTTCCTCCTAATGGCAAGAGCTGTTCTCAGCCCATGTAATGGCAGATATCGATATCAACCTGAAAGACGTGTTGAGCGCGGGAGATTCAAAGACAAGCAGTACGATAGCAGGAAATTTAACAATCGCCTCAAGGGCTACAATCTAGTCTCATGGACTGTTGTCGTGAGCTAGTAGGGTTGTTAAATATGTGCTATTCCTGCGGTCCGGTGCTTCAACTTCTTCCCTATCCAACTAGACCTATAGAGTTGTAAAACAAAATAAGTGCCTCGTAGGCGATTATATGCCCATACTTCAAAGTCACCAGAGGCCAAGTTCTTAATGTTGCCAGCGCGCAGCAGCCAGCTCTCTTACCCAATATGGTTCGCACTGTAGTTTTGTAAATCCAAGCCCAAAACCCACCATCCCCATAATCCTTACAGAGCCACGATAGCTTTGGCAATACGTGCGGTAACCCTGTCCGTGATACAACCAGGAAAGACCGTATAGCTAACTAGATTCGTAGACTGGTCAACAACTTCGAGCGGTTATTCGGCGATGAGGAAGATTAGTGATGGCCTAAGCCCCAGTCTTGTTCGCGTTCTGAAAATGCAATACAAGTTTCGAAGCGCCCGACGCTAGTGTTGGTTTGTTCAAAAACGCTTGCATATCATGTTGTTATGGTGTTCCGTGAGCTTAAGGATTGCAAGCCTACGGAGTAATCCTGAGGTCGCGGGTTCGAGCCTGCGTAGGAGACCGGGCGAACCTAGCAGTATGCTTGGCCCACGTGCGACTGGCGGTGGTCCCGCAGCAACAGGGCGTCGGTACTGCGTAACGGTGTACTGCTGAAGCCTCCTCTCTCTTTTCATCTGGGTATGACCAAACTGGAGCGCTATAATGTGATTACTTTAACAACTACAGTACATCATTTGAACTGATGCCTCGCTTCCGTACAACCATGGTGATCTACGAAACGTGGAATGATAGGAGGGGGAGAAGCGGGACCTAGCGTAAAACCGTGATGCCCTAAACAGATATTCAGGGTCAAAACGCCTACACCTTGTGTCAACAACATCCCGTCACAAACAGCTGGCTATCGTACAAACGTAAAGCGGCATCGGCGAGACAGCTTTCTTGCGGCTTTCACTGCCTCGCGTCATAATCAGCCATCACCCCACAGATTATGAGATGACAGTGGACGCGCCACTGGTGTCGACTGCAAACTATGTTCTGAGGTGTTTCTAGCCAAGCACAAGGCGCGTCAAGTGGACTCCAGTCTAAAAGGTGAAACGGACCGATGGCACCCAGTTTGGTCGTTAGTGACTTCATTTCGTGCTGTTAAGTCAACTTTTGCCCACTTCGTGCTTTGCGCTACCCTACATTTGACAAACAAAATGACGCCCTCCTCGATAAGCGGTAATCAGACATACTTGATGCGTTCGCAAATCAACGCAACTTACTCAGTGCTACCTATCACTCTAAGGTATTAGCCGGATTAACACTGATCTCACTCGCCTACGCACATTATCATTGCGGACACGCTGGTGCCATCCGACACCAGCAGTGGTACACAGACAGCGATGATCAAAGAATTGAAGGCATCTCAGATCGAAAGGACCAGGTCTCACTTCCACAGAATACTTCGGCCCTCGCTGTGGCGTTGTAAACACGATCGTTTAGACTGAAGGCAACCCGTTTCAGACGCCAAAGATTCACGAAGCAGGTTATGGCCTTTGCAGCACGGGAATTGACTTTAGTTTCTATGCCCCATCGTTGCTGATGCAGCTACCAAGGCATATGAAGCGATCAACTACCTCGATTTCCTCGCTGTCAAGGTTCAAGGGGTCATCAAGTGAGTGGTAGTCGTACAACAACACTGCGCTTTGAAGGTGCGAAGCGCATGCCAAATGATGAAACCACTGTAGAGAGATTATTCCGAGTTGATTGCGTCCGCATAATCAACTAGCGTTTCGTCAGGCCGTATCTCAACGCCTGCATTGAGAGGTTCCTCAAGGGAACACTCCATGATGGAGTCCACGACGAAGTTGAATAAAATGGGGAAAATTGGACAATCCCGACGAACGCCACTTGTAGGAAAGCTATCTGACAAATCACCATAGACCCTGACGCTGATTGTGGTGTTGGAGTACAGGGCACATATTTCATAGGAACACCTTTCCGCATAAGTATTTCGAATAGAATGGATCGATTGACTGAATTGAACTCACTCTTGAAGTCGAGGAACACAGCTATTGGCGGTCTGTGGTACGTGTGACACTGCTCTATCACATGCCGCGGAGTGAATATGTGGTCATGGGCGGAAGCCTGCTTACTCTTCCTTAATCCAGGATTCTCGCTCCGCAGTGAGGCGGCGATCGTGAATTAAGGCCAGTAATTTTGTCGCCACCGGCTAATACTCCTGTGGTTAGCACAGCGGGTGGGACCGCACTTCTCGTTGATTGCTACTACAATCGATTCAGTCCGGTTAGCTGGGATAGTCTCATCCTCCCAGGTCTGTTCAAACAGGGTCTGTGTTTTGCAAAGGACCGCACCATCATCCTTGAATAGTGCGGGTGCGAGGGCATTACCCCATATCACTCCTAAGGGATGCGGAAGGGAAGAGGTGGGGCAATGTTGGCGTGCCTTACTTTTCGTCATGAATTGGGAGTAGAATTTCCCACACATCCTTCGCGACTCCGAGAACTGTGGTATAGAGGTTTGAGGATACAGGGGAATTTCTCAGATGCGGTCACAAACAGGCGCAACTAACAGGATCCGGAGTAGTCTCTATGTCATTGGGAACAGCGGGAATCGGCCCTTTGTAAGTATGATGGCCTTGAAGTACTTATCCACACACTGCATAGTCGGAAGCCAGCCCAGTGTTTACTTATCACGAGATCACTGAGCCCGAGTAGCATGCTGCAGGTGGGGAATTTAGAGGGAATCGAAATGCGATTGATACCACGACGATTTTTACAGGCTGCATTTTTGTTCACTATGTTCGACACAACATTCTGTCTGACCTATTGCCATGGGTTCAGTTATGGCGGAATGTTAATCACGATCAACATTTGGCAGTCGTCTCATTCTAATTTTTATTCTCCTTGCCCTGAATGTTGCGTTATTCAGCCACGGCTGCTGTGCAGGTTACACATGCTACCGATGTGTTTTACGGTATTGTACAAGATGCAGTTCGGTGTTGGGAGCCTTTTATCCCTCATGACTACTTGGACAACTGTTTTTTGTTATTGCCAACCGTGCACACAATACGTTTGAAGTCACCGATTACCCGTCTCCTCTCTTTGCATTGTTCCCTCATTGTCGAGACCGTATCCGAGCTTGGTCTCCCAATTCTTCCGGAGAAGAACGCTCTGCTACGAGAACGCGTAGGTCTTACATTGCTCTCAGGTGTGTGAAAGCCGTATCTCATGTTCTAAAGAATTTTGGCGTATACTGTGGTTCTCCGCGGACAGAACTACACAAATTTACCGAGCAAAATCGCACCAGTGGTGCAGGTTGCGCAGGTTGGCACGCAATTGGTGCTGAATGTAGCCACCAGGTGAGTATCTGTGTGGACTAACCCACTGAGACTTTTTGCCACGTGACTGTTCTGTTAATGGTCACTTTCCATTAAAGGTTCTTGTTACTATACACCTCACTTTGTATTTGTTCTTGCAAGGTGTCCTATAGAGTTACATGTTTTCACTGGTTTATATCATGGACCACTACTTTCGGTCTGGCTTCGTGCAGTCAACGCATTTGGCTGGCTTCATGCCGGCGCTTCACTGCCACATGACCGCCACTAGTCGCTTACGGTCTAGGCGTACTACGCAATCTCGAATCGACGATCTCTGGTTGAGACAAGCCAGACGCATGAACAACTTGGCCACCGGCCCTTGTGCCCACGCTCAAATCGTAGCCTTGCGTGCCTTTGTGGACTGTGGATCTTGCCATTATCCCACTTCATGTGATCATTGTGCGGTATCGGAAACCGCCTGTGGTCATTGTAGTTCGCGTAGTATAAAGCAGTGTTTCCCAACCTTTTCATCGCCGCGGACCTGTCAACCTTCGCTAATTTTACGTGCCTGCTGAGCAGTCGTTGCTCGTTTATATTTTAAATTGTTTTGAGTTAACAATTTTGATTTCATTATATTTAAATATGCCATAAATAAAACACAGTTACACCATAAAATACATATAAAGTAATTTAAAATGTTAACTCACTGGAACTCCAAATCAATGAGAACCCTGAGCTTGTTTCTCTGTAACGAGACGACTGCTCAGTCTGGGGTTAATAGAAGATTATGACACCCGAAGTGTGTTGCTGTTGTGACGCCGCCCTTTGCCTCTGTCTCTGGGGTACCAACCAGCCGGGGAAAACAAAATGCCGAGCCTGCTAGACCGAAGTGTATTAGGCACAAAACATGGCTACTTTTATAGGTCACATGCGCTTACCTCGCCTCTAGCACTGAGGTGAGTCACACCGCTTGTCTGAACATATTCGACTCTGGTAGCGGCCATCTATCTCTGACTGTAGGTAGGATCACGTCCGCAACATAGCAACCCGTGCGGCGACGACGGTCTGATTTCGTCAGCTTCCTGTTTGACCATGACAACGAGCCTGTCAGCCGTTCACGTGATCTGGCCGATCTCGCCCCGCTAGTGTGCACCATCGTAGTCAGCTGTTTCGCCTCCGTGACAGTTGCTTACGTCCAGCTTATTCTGTTGTTTTGTTTTGGTTACTGTCACCGCAGAAAACCCCACTTCACACAGATTTCGGATGTTGGAAATAGCAATAGGGATTTAAGTGCTATGGTGACAATCTGAGGTTAATCCGCCATGACTTTAATCCAGAACACCGGCAGAGTTGTTGTCTCGAACGTAGTTTTAAGGCCGCCGTCATTTGCAATCTCCAGCAGTTGATCTTCTTCTTGCACAGACATGCTAGATTCGCCTGGTTTGTTCGCAACAATAATAAATAAATAATGTGTCAGCTGTACGCCGCAACAGCGCGTCGCTGCCGTGCGACCACCACCAGTCGCACGCGGGCTGAGTATACCGCGAGGACGTCCACCCCCTATGCGGATTCGAATCCGAGCCGGAAGATTATGAGACAAGCTCGTTACCTCTAGGCTACGAGCCGAGGTTTGTCGACAAATAGGTCGCGGATCCATTTCTTACCAGTTCATGGATCTTTTGTTGTTGGGAACTAGCGCTCAAACTCTTTTGGAAGCAAAAACAGGTGATTGTGCACCAACTGGGAGAATGAATGCTCAAAGTTAGTCTCGCCTAAAATCGCGGCTAATGTTTGAAACATGTCCAAAATGCCTCTGCTCAAGCGCCGTCCTCACAATCCCAGTTTGGCTATAAATGCAGCTACTTTGTTTGCCAACTTGAAAACGTTTGTCGTTTGCCCCTGAGGCGATGGATTGTGTTCATTGAGCAGGCTGTATATGTCATACAGGTAAACAAGTTTTGCGACCCATACCCTACCACTGAAATATGCTGCCAGCGGTGACTTCTTTTCCGAGATAAATCTTTGCAATGACTCACGTGATTCAAATACTTTGGTTAGTTATTTTCCTCTGGTTAACCATCTTATTTCTACGTACTAGAGAAGTCATCTATGTTCTGCGTCCATTTCCTCACAAAGCTGCTCAAACAGGCGGGAGTTCAAGGCATGTGCTTTGATGTGGTTAATAACTTCAACGACATCAATCAATACGCTGTTAAATTCCGGTGACATTTTTCGGCTTGCCAGCATTTCCCTGTGATTGATACAATGCGTAGATTCACGCTCAGGTGCAACCTCTTTAGTCTGAGTAGTTAAACCAGACAGTCGTCCGGTCATGGCAGCAGCTCCGTCTGTGCATATGCCGACACGAAAGAATCATTTTAGTTGTCCTTATACATATAACAATCCAGTGACTTGAACAGTTCTGCTCCTGTGGTGTTGGTTGGCAAAGTTAGGGCACCTAACAAAACCTCATGCACATGTGGTATTGCCTTGCTGTCCATATCGGTAGGTTCGTCAACCTGGAGTGCGTACCACGATGATGTATATTAATCCTCTCCAGCAATTGTGTCTCAATATCTTCGGCTATTTCCCCAATTCTCCTAGTCACAGTGTTAGCCAACAAAGGCATATGTGCTATCTTTTTAACAGCAACCTTTCCCGGGGAGTTCACGGCAAATGCAAGAGCAATTCTTCGATAGTGAATGGCTTTTTAGTCTTAGTAGTACGGTTAGCCATCAAATATGATACCCTTAGGGCATTCTCCTTTATTGATGTGGTGGTCCTGAGAAATTTCTTGTCCCTCATGTTACCGTTTTTTTTCTTTCAAAATACACCAGGGGCTTTCTTTTAATCCACTGTGCTTGGCGTTCAAGTGACGAAGCAGTTTTGAAGGTTTCATTATCTTTTTATAAAGATAGTCGCTGCAAACTATACGGAGCGGGGTTGGTGTGTGGGAATAACCTGTCCCGATAAATTCAGAATTCAAGACTCATGGTATTAATTGTGGATGTTTATGTGTAGTGTAAAGTTTGTAGAAAGTAGAAGTCACGACTAAAATTCACACGCAATAATATGCCTCGACGGGGAATCGAACCCCGGTCCACGAATTTCCGGCCCGCTGCTCTACCACTGAGCTACCGAGGGCTGACGATTAGGTGCGCAAATTTTAGTACATAACTTTCTACAAACTTTACACTACTCACAATTAATCTACCATCGCCCATTGGACATCCGGAGGACAGGTACTTCGGTCCATTGGGAAGTGACGAGGACAGGTACTGTGAGCTCATTGGCAATACGTCGCGCGCCAAGCAGAAGTCATGTATGCTCAGTGGTAGAGCAGCGAACCGGAAATTCGTTGGGCCGGGGTTCGATCCCCCGTCGAGGCATATTATTGTGCGTGAATTTTAATCGTGACTTTACTCTCTACAAACTCATGGTATTGTCTGGTAAAAATTTTGTTTCTTTGTTGTTGAACACTGTTTTTCTGTCTTTGTCACTGGGCATTCACTTCTTCCGAAGGAAACTGTCTAACGTAGTCCGTTTCCTACTCACTATTGCTAATTTGTAGAGTTAAACTTGAGCGCTTAAGTGACCAAAATGTAACCGGGAAAATAAAACATCGTTAAACTCAGGTTGTAAATATGGACGAAAAAGTGCAAAAATTAGGCAATATACACACACGTACACCAAGCAGTGTTAAACATGAGAAAGTACCGGTGAACAGAGAGTAGAGCGATGCACACCTCGCCACCAAAGCTACAACGCTCAGCCCCAGTTAACCTTTCGTCCATGGAAAGTCGCACAATCCCGAGGGAAATACACCACACCACGTAAAATAGAAATAATTTAATGTTCTTTGGGCGGCCCGGTAAAGTGTAATGTGGCGTAGAACGACAATCCCTACCTTTTGCCATGTCACCATGCCATCGAAAATTGGGTTGTATATCACTGACGGATCTGTCCTTACCGTACAGCTGCGGTTTGAGTTTTGAATATGTATAGACTCTTGTGTTGTTGACCCCCTTCGCTGACCACCGCCTCGTTTCACTCATTTCTATAGTTGGTGTGTCGGGTGTTCGACTTTTTGGTTTATCTATGCAACCGGTTCACGCAAGGAGTACAAGAGAAAACAGCTCCAATCGCCAACTCGCCAGATTCATGCATCCTTGACCACAATGACCTTGGTCCGATGCCGGATGCTCTTTTAGGACGATTTGCCGATACTCGGGAGGCCGACTCGGCCAGTTTCACCTATGGCGGACATGCATTACTGGTACGTCGACACAGCGAAGCACTGTATCTCCCTCCCGACATACGTCCTCGTGTAAAATGATGCTTTTAAGGGGAATTATTTTTTCCACACATATTTGCAGTATTTCGCGCAGCATCGTTTTCGGAGCCCTCATGTAAACCAGCTCAAGCTATTGAATGCCCAGTAGCATAATTATATTCCCCTTAGTAAGGCTAGTCCTTATCGTACCGTTCCCACTGCCACACTGCCAGCAGTAAGTTACGCAGGGATGAAACAGACGCCTGGTGTTGCTCCCAATGTTGGTGGCCATCAAGTTGATGTCAAGTCCCCTGTGAGTCCCATTCAACTACACCTTAGTTTCCATCTCTTCAGGAGCCACTTGATTACACAGTCGGACACCGGTGAGGAGGTAAACAATTCTGTGCCTGACGAACCCCATCCTCACTTGGCACCGACCGTCCTGCAGTTAATTGCGAACCGCTCTTTCTATCAGGAAATATAAGCGAAAGCAGCCCAGTGCTGATTGAAGAGGTCATTCTGAAGCACGCGTGATGAATCCCCAAGTCATTACGAAACAGGTCGTGGAATAAGAATGGAATCCGCAGTAAGTCATATCGATGCTTCGCTGCCACATGACTGCATACAGTTGCGCGCGGGCTAGGGATACTGCTAGGTGGGTTGCGCGGGTTCGAATCGGTGATCTTTGGATTACTAGGCAAACGCCTTATCCCTCTGGTCCCCGATCGGCCGTGGATTGCAGTGACACGAACGAGCGGTACCCAATTTTCATTAGCCCATTGCTGGTTCCCTTCCCTCTTTTCTACTTAGTATACTCTCACATTCCTCTCGACCCATACTACGAACCCTCCTTCTGTATAGTCCCTAGCGTGTGAGCGACGGCGGCTGCGGAGTCGCTGAAGCTTTATCATGTGCACCCGTGTGTCATAACAGTATGCAGTAAGAATCCTCTGCCATCAGCCTCCCAATCGGGTTTGATCGTACACTAAAACAGATAGAACAACAGGCTGCGCTTGTGTTGGGACATTCAGTGGCGTAGTTGTTGACGTGTGCTGCTTTTCTGGCACCGGGCTTCGCACATTTGCTGCATCCACATCCGAGGATGTAGATACAGCAGCTGCCGCTCACGCTGGAGTGGATATCCTTCGGAGCTCCGGGACTGATTGATCGAATCTAGTTGAACAGCCATCAGTGTGCAGCCCACGCACGACGGAACGGTCGCTGCTGCATTTGTGCCAACCGGCTGCAGTCAGAAACGCCTTTTAACACGATGTTAGCACATCACTACGCAACGTCACCAAGAACTCATGCCACCTATATCGACCCTGCCACTTAACGTGGAAAACGTCGCCTCTTTACCAGACCAATGGTTGCATAAGGTTCCAGAATGGTAATAGTTTCTCTGGTAACAGAAAACCGAATTGCTGGCCATTAAAGTGAGCACCATTGGTCCACCTTGTCTTCAAGGCTGGAATCCACGCGACCCGCCCAGAAGCCTTAGTTAACGCGGCTCGCACTCGCCAACGGTGGCGCGTTTCTTACTATCGCCGAATCGAGCTGCCGCATAATGTGTGTATATTGTTGTTATCTGTGGAATAGGATTGATTGTGATATGAGTAGTGGAATGTTGTGCCGCCCCATCTGCTCAACCCGCGACGAAATGAGAACACCAAAGATTACCCAGGATCGATGGTACTTTTGTGTGATAGCTTAGTGGAACAAATAGGTTGAAGGCAGCTACTGAACACAAGAAAATCGGAGATGCCAATTAATATCAGTTAACACAACTCATAGCGGTTCAAGTTCAGGATTCAACTTGCTGTTGACTTACATAGATACGCGGTAGACCTCTGCTTGTGTTCAAATTCCACATGTAGATCGATCCAATCTTAGATCAAGGTTTTCGGCTTTGACACTGGCTGCAAGTAACACCTCCGTCGCGTAAATTGACGTACGACTTCCGTCTTGGATCCAACTACATTCTGATGACAAGTCTCCGTACCCGATCAGAGCAGCGTTTTGGTTGCGTAGTCGGCTCTTCTAGAATGGTCGTGCAACGTGCTTTGGAAGCGTTCTGTGTGCTGGCTGGCTTGTCGAAACTCCATCAGGATATCCAGCGGTAGCGGTGCTTGTACTTATTAATTTGCTAGTTGGCCGAAGCTGATTAGCGTGCCTGGTCCAAATGTGGCCCCCACTTTAACCTTATATAGGACACGTCCAAATCTGCTCTGGATCAGACCTGTCGCCCATCTTGGTCTTTTCATGTGGCAGTCTCTGACCCAAACCTTCTGTCCTGTGTAGAATCGGCGTGCTTGTGTCCTATTTCGTTTGTTATAGTAGTCTCCCATTCTCAGGTTTTTTTTCTGCTTCGGAAGCAATAACGAGTTCATTGTGCAATGCTTTCGTCCCATTAACGCTTCTGCTAGTGATAGCTGATTGGGAACATGGGGATTCGGTGTCGTGCTGTACATAAGTAGAAACGCATCCAATATCTCCTGCGTGGTTCCATCTCCCCTCATTTTCAGCAAAGCTCGCTTCAAGGTATCGACAAATCGTTCTGCCTATCCATTAGATTGTGGATAGAGAGGTGGTGGCGAGCTTACATGGGTATAATAATAATGTGTCAGCTGTACGCCGTAACGGCGCTTCGCTGCCGCGCGACCACCACCAGTCGCGCGCGGGCTGAGTATACCGCGAGGACGCCCACCCCTACGCGGATTCGAACCGGTGACCTTATGGTTGCAAACCAAACGTACAGACCACTCGGCCACCGGCAGTACTCGGCAAAACAGGAAGAAGTGAAATGTGACCTGTTGTCTGTGACTAGCATTGTTGGCACTCCATGTTGGCTGAAAAGCTTCCTCGGTACGTTGATCGTCGCGCCACTAATCACATGCTCCATGCAGAATACCTCGGGCCATTTACTGAAGGCGTCAACAACAACAATCAACAAAATACTGCTGCCCATTCACCGGATCAAAGGAATCTGCATGCACACGCTCCCACGGCTTCGTTGTCAAAGGCCAGGAGGCTAATTCCGCTTTTCTGGGCGCCTTACTGACAAGTGCACATCTCTGACATGACTTTGCCATCTGTTCCAGTTCCGGGTCGATATTCGGCTAGTAAACGAAACTTCGAGCGATCATTTTCATTTTGTTAATACCCGGATGGCCTCGATGGAACTGCTGTATAACTCTGTAGCGAAGTTCTGAGGGGGGGAAAACTCGTTCGGCCAGCAATAAGCATCCGTTGACGATTGACAGTTCATCCTTCCTTAGGAACAACTTATCCAGCTCACCTGTCAGTTTATCCTTAGCCCATTGTATAGTGTGGTATTTGATAGTTTGTCGAATGACTGGATCACGTGTTAAAGTAGCAAACATCATTTCGAAAGTAACCGGAAGCCTGCTGAGACTCTCCATCAGCACTTGATTTACTTCAGTCTCCAAGTAAACCGCTGCGATGGTTGATTCTTCTTTCTGAGGCTGCTGATTTTCCAATAGTCGAGAAAGCGCGTCAGCTTGACCCACGTTCTTTGTGATATGCTTCGCCACAAAGTCTTAACCGAGCAACGTGATGCCCCTACGTTTCATCCTGTTTGCTGTGTAGATGGGGATACCTGCCTTTGATCCGAAAATTGCAAGCAGCAGTTTATGATCAGCAAGTAGTGTGAACTTCCTCCCATAAAGCATCTTGTGAAATTTCTTTTCTGTGAAAACTATTGTCAGGGTCTCTTTCTCTACCTGACCATAAATTCGTTCTGTGGGAGACAACGACCTAGCTGCATGTCAACTTGCCTTTTCTAAACCATCTGCGAACTTGTGCGCTATGATTAAATTAATGCCATAGTTCGAGGCGTCAGCGGCCATCACAATCTCCAAGGTAGGGTCGTAATGCGTCAGTAGAAGATCGGAACATAGAAGCCTTTTCTCCTGCTCAAGTGATCCCTGACATTTATCGAACCAGTTCCAAGGCTTATACTTGGTCAGTAATTCATTCAGTAGACCATGTAAGCGATGCGTATGCGGCAGGAACGGGATGTAATGACTTATGAGTCCTAGGAAAAATCTTGGTGTTGCAACATTTTTGGGCGACAGCATCTTCTTGATAGCTTCGATGTCCGCTGGGTCTGGACCTCTAACATTCCTGCCAATTATAAAACTGAGAACCCCCATTGAGTCCATATAGAGGGTACACTTCTCAGATCGGAGTCTGAATCCATACCCTTCAACACAGTCAACAATTCGATTCAACTCCATCGCAATGAGGCTGAACCTTACCGTGGTGCGATGGTTTGCATGACTCAGCGATCCACTGAGCTATGCTGGGTGGTGCTTTTGCACCTTCAGAGCCACTCATGCCAGATTAGTCAATGGTTAGAGACCATACAAACTCAGCCTCTTGGTGCTCCAGTTTGGGGATTGGAATGAAGGTGGCACCTTATTCCTTAAAACTTACTCCTTGTAGCCCAACACCAAACCCACTGCCTTGTGGTAACGTTTTTGAACCAAAGGCTTTGGTTGAGAACCCTCATCGTTTTCCTGTCTAGGCCTGGGCAACCTGATAGTATCTCGTCCACGCAGTACAATGAATCTTCAAACAATTTCTTGATGCTCTGGCCACCGCAGAGGATAATCAATGGTGCCCTATCTGCTGCATCGAGCAGGGTGGATAGGGGTTGGGATGCTACTGCTCAAGCCTTCTCGTCTTCTTATTCCCCCTCTTACGCTTTTTCGCTTTTACCATCCCGTTCCAACTTCACTTTTATCCCCCATATTTTCAACCCTCCGATTCTTGGCCCTCCCCCAACATGCTTTGCTAGGCGTTTATCTTCTAATTTCAACTCATGCTAGCGCGGAGCGTCACTCCTCTCCTGTCGACAAGCCCATGTCTAACCAAGCGGTCCACTCCAGTTCATCGGTTTGCATTTGGAGCCCTCGATCCTCCTTCAGATTGGCATGCCTCAATGTACGCACACTGCTACAGATCGGTTAACAGGCAGC